AGTTGTTACTTATTCTTCTCCGTGTCATGATTTGTTGCAAAAACATTATGCAGTGTAAGCTCTAGCTCTTCCTTTTAAGAATTAATTTAAGTTAATGCATTTGGCAATACCACACATGGATTCCCATAAGAGCAAGCAAGTCAGTTTTACCAAAAATGAGTACAGCTAAAATGCCACCTAGAAGTGAGGCTGGTGAGATTTTGCCTCACTTAATTTGCATATGCCATCAGGAAAGAGCAGTCATTGGCATAGGACATCATGGTCAGCAAGATGAGAAACTTCATCAATGAGAGGGATCAACACAACAGCAGAAACAACGGATGTAAACACTGCATGGATCCTGCAGATGGTACAGGGCGGGGCATTGCTTTGTGCTATGGTCCAAAAGTTCTCCACTGAGTTGAAGCTGATTTGACTACACTTGGCAACAGACTCACAAAGGTTTAGGAGGATGTATGACCAGCATGTTCCTTAGAAACAACATTGGTGAGGTTTTGTCTTCTGTACTTTGGATATGTCATCAATAGGATGGCTCACTTTGTTACTCAACTCAATCCTTGTGAAATGACATCACACTTGATAAAGTAGACGGGTCAGCCACAAAGAGGAAGGCCTGCAACCAGATGGACTGACATAGTGACTGCAAGGGGGGGCTCAAACACAGCAACATTGGTGAAGATGTCACTTGACCAGGTAGTGCAGGGATGCTATGAATTGGAATCAACTTGAAGGCACCTAACAATAGCAGTCACAAGTTCTATGATATTCAAAATAGTGTTTAAGTAATCAATTTTCTGTGTCAAACACAAGAGATCATATAGACAACAATTACTCTGAATTTTAGTCCTTGCTTGTCTTTTACTGTAATGCTTTGTTCATATAACTATCTAATTTTGGAATTGGATTTCAGAGTACCAGAAAGTTTTGCATTTCATATTCGTGCTATTATTAGAAAAGGTATTAGAGTTGACTAGGTCTGCTTTCAGCATTTAAGTCCTTATGCAAGAAAATAGAAACAGAAGACCCAAGAAAATGTAGTCAACCATACAAATACACGATTATTTCATTTGTTTTCCATTCACAACTATGTACTGAGTGTTGACTCTGAGCCATGCATTGTTTTATATATTGGCATTATGATTATAAATACAAAGTCCAAAATCTCTTTTCTTCAGGTGCTTACATTTGAATGAGAGGAGACAAACGGTAAAAAAAAAAATGCAAGTGGTGATAATTGACAATGAACACTGATAATTGACCAGGCCAAGGGATGATGGCAGTTTCGGGCAAATGCAGTGAGGAGGTAGGATTTTGGTTAGCTAAGTCATGACTGTGTCTTCCAGGTGTTCTGGACATGAGCTGAAGGCAAGGGCCCTGTCTGCTGCTGCTCGTCTTCATGCCCCACAGTTCTCATTATGTGCAGCAGTCACAGGTTTAGGATGGATTGACGACTTTGGTGGTCAGTGAATCCTACCTTACCCAGAACTACTTTTTCTTTTTTCAACGCTGTAATCTAAAAAGTCCCCGAGTGGTTCAATAGGTAAGTGTTTTATAACTCACCTAAATGTAGGTATTTTTGAACCCACCTAGAATGCCTCAGGCAACATACCTGGCAATCTGCTTCTGCAACCCTCTGTTTTCTTTCCTGAACACATGGGGTGGCCATGAACTGGACCTGACTGGATGTCCATGAACAATCATTCACTTACTGCATTGCTGCCTCACTTGGATAGAATTTGAGCTGCACATGGGACAAGAGCATTCTTTTTGTTCACTGTTGCATCCCTGGCATCTATAACTTTGCCGGAAACATGGAATTTAATAAATATATGCTAACAGAATCAATGATTTTGAGCAAGTAATTTTTCCTAAGAAGAAATAATGCCCTTATTAACTTGACAGAAGACATTTGTTTGCTACTTTGGGTAAGCCAGCTTTTCCCAGCTAGCAACATATAGTCTGACTGCTACTGGATCAAATCACACATTGTGTGTGTGTAAAATGATTGAGAAGCTAACCTGGGCTGAGTCGATTTCTCTTGAAAAAGTTAAATGTAAAAATGTAGTAATCATATCATTATTCTCCAATTGTCATTGGCTCAGTTTTCTGTTCTTGAATTTTTAAGGGGATGAACTCAAGAAAGTGGTAATTGACATTCAGTTATGTTTTTATTGGAAAGTAAGGAATGGTATGAAAAAACTCTGGATGCATAGTCTTTAAATAGAAGCTACAGATCTTTAGGCGGTTTCTCCATTTGAAAGCCAATTCCCCCAATTTTTAATTTTATTTGGAGCAATATGTTCACAGCCTTGCATACCGTAGGGAAAATGTTTTTTGACAAAAGTAGTAGAGTACAATTCAATAGTTGCAGCAGTTGAAGGCGCTCTCAGCAGTTGAAGCTGGATTTACAAGGGGGTGTAGAATGCAGGCTACCATTGCTGAAGTTAGATGGATCTTGGCTGAAAGCAAAGAACAGCAGAAAGAATCTGTGTGGAAGCTAACACATTAGAGCTAAAACTGTAAAGAATGGGAATTCCAGAACCCTTAACTGTGCTCACAGGGAACCTGTACATGGGTTATGAGGATTCATTTTACACAGCGAAGGGATACTGACTGATTTAAAATTAGGCAAGGTTTGTGTCAGGGTTGTATCCTTTCACCACAGTGATTCAATATGTACGTTGAGCAAACGATTCAAGAAGCAGGACGATGGGAGGGAGAACACAGCATCAGGATCAGAGGAAGGCTCGTTAACAATGTGTGATATGCATACGATAATCTTGCTTGCTGAGAGCAATGAGGACTTGAAGCACTTTCTGGTGAAGATAAAAAACGGCAGCCTTCATTGTGGATTACACTGCAATGTAAGAAAGCAAAAGTCCTCATAATTGGGTCAATAAGCAATTCCATGATCAATATAAGAAATGCTGAGGTTATCAAGAATTTCATTTTACCTGCGTCCACTCATGGAAACAGCAATCAAGAAACCAGAGGACATATTGCACTGGGCAAGTCGGCTGCAAAAGACCTCTTTGTAGTGTTAGAGAGCATCCCTTGAGGACTACGGTGTACCTGATCCAAGCCATGGTATTTGTTACTGCCGCAGACATGCGAAAGCTGGACAATGACAAGCAGACTGAAGAAGAACTGATGCCACTGGATGATGGTGGTGAGCAAGAACCCTGAAGGTACCATGAACTACTTTGTATTAAACAACAAAAGGAAATAAAATATTCCAAAAATAAACCTAAAATAAGTTTGATGATTTTGTTGTTCATTTTAGTAATCTCACCAATATTTTACAGATTCTTTTCTATAGAATCTCAAATTAGCCCTTTGAGTTCTGATAGCAACATATGCAGCGTCACACTCTCATAGCACTTTTATCACAGTTGTAACTTAAACAGATCACAGTTCCAGCCATCTGTGATTTTGAAGTGTAAACAACGAGACTTAGAAGCCTCAATCCCCTTTAGTGGAAGAGGGCACATGCAAAGGAAACCCCAGGACCAACAGAAGCCACATCCATCTATGTTTACTGAGCACCCATGATAAACTTCACTATAGAAAATGTCTCTTGAACGTCCTCATGTTGTTTTCAAGTATGAGTTACCCAAGTAGATATTTAACCAGTCCAGCTGGGACCCCCAAAACCCTGGTAGTATGGTGAGTTATGTGTTTGGCTGCTAATCACAAGGCCAATGATTAGTAACCATTACTCTCTCTACAGAAGATATATGAGGCTTTCTACTCCCATAAAGCTTTATAATCTTGGAAACCCACAGGGGCAGTTCTACTGCATTCTACAGGGTCACTGTGAGTTGGAATTGAGTAGAGAGCAGTTAATTATTCATAGAGGCAGGATTTCTTGGCTCTTTCTTTTTCTGTATCGCCTTACAGTACATGAGTAGGTACATGAGTAGGATTCACTTAGTATAATAAGTAGAATCATTATAAATATTATTTATCATAACAAGTAAATTTCTATCTTTTTGCAGTAGTCACAAAGAAACACAACTCATATACAAAATTTGAAAGTACCATGGGCTACTTTATATTGAATAATAAAATGAAATGAAATATTTCAGAAATAAAATTCAAATAATTTTATCATCTTGTTCATTTTAGAAATCTCAATAATATTTGATATATTCTTGTCTATAGAATCTCAAAAAAAAACCAAAATTAAATTATTGTGCATGATAGCACACATACCTTCAATTCCCAATTTACAAAGACTGATGGTTGTTTGTTGAGATGAAGAATATAATATAATCTTATCCAGAAGTTAGATCAGAAAAGCTTGACTACATTTTCCAGTACCATAAAATAAAATTATTTTAATAAGCACAAATATAAAATGTTGATTATAGAAACAATAAAGCTGTTTTGGCTCTTTACAAATACTGAATTTCCAAATAAGTAGTAAGAAAAATATTTAAAGTAATGATTGAACAATGATAACTGGAGTTTTTTCCTGAATAATTTTTTTTCTGTAGCATATAAATTCATACAGTATTACAGTAATTTATAGCTCTACAGTGTCTAGGAATCTTTAAGACATGAAACAAAATCTAAGTGTATGCAGAAAATAGGAATAAAATAATTAAAAAGTAATTTGTATAGTTTTTTACAACAAAATATCTTTTTCTCTAAAAATAAATTATGTGTAATATGCTGAAATATCCTTCCATTAAAGTGTTTAGAAAAGAGTTACATTCGTTTCTTGGCAGTGTGCTCAAACAGTCTCCTTGGCCATTTTCTCATGCATGAAAAAATGAGGTGCAAGTTGTTGACATGTGAGGAAATCAGCGTAGTTTCACAGGAAAAAAACAATACATGAAATAGAATTAATTTAAAATATATTTATGTGACAGTTTCAAAAACTCACTAGGAATGTCTGTTTTTCAAGGCCTCTGAGGTGATGCAACCTTTGATAACACAACATTACTAAAGGTAGTTTTTGTTTTTTTAAAATCATGCTACCCTGTATCCTCCATCACACCAGCACATTCATTCATCGTCCATTCGGTCCTCTCATAATTGAAAGCACTGCGCTCTGTCAGTTGACGCGTTTCACAAAGGAGTCGGAGAAATCAGTGGGGCTCCCAGGAGTAGCGCCATGGGCACCGGTGCTCCACGTGGGCGGGCAGGGTGCTCAAGTCTTTGTGGAGCCGAACGACATGCAATGGACGAGATCACCGTGATGTCACTGAGCTTACCAAACAGCCTCAAGGTTAAGAATTCATTTTACCCAGGCAGGAAAAAAATAATACTTGTCATTATCCGTGAGGAGTACCAGAATGGCAACTTGGAAATGAGTCCATTTTCTGCTGTTTCTTCTTCTTTATCTTACTTTTCTTCAGCTTTTTCTCAGCCTTGCTCTTTCTTGGCTTCTTGTTCTTCTCTTCTTTATACCAGGGTCCCCACACGCCTCCATTCAGCCGAGGGTTACTCCTGGGGTCCCTGGGGGGGTACCTGACCGGCACTGCGGTTTTGTTGAACTTTGAGAGCCTGCGCAGCAGCTGCTTCACGATCCCAGGGTACCGATGGGAAAGGTCCACTCTTTCATACGGGTCAGCTGTGATGTTGAAAAGCCAAACACTTTTGCCAGTTGACAAAGTAATCCGCTCATTGTGCCACCGGTTGGGACCCAGGTTGCTGAAAGCCTGAGGGGGCACCCAGTCGCTGTAGCCGGGGTTCCCCGTGAGCAGTTTCCAGTGCTGCACTCGGATGGCCGACTGGATGGCAGTGTTCCAGATCCCAAAGCCAGCTGCCCACGAGCCGTTTTTCGCCCTGGTGTAGATCGGGTCAATGTTGTGTAGAATGTCCACTCGGGGTGAACGGAGGCCTTCGCTGATGGTCTCCCAAATGTCGTAACCATCCAGCTGCACGTCCTCTTCGATCTGCCCTTCAGCAAGTGTAATCAGAGTGGGATACCAGTCAGTAATGTGCACCAGCTCCCTACACACGGTGCCCTTGTTTTTCAGAAGTGGGCTGTGCACAAAGCCAACAGCCCGGATTCCACCTTCCCAGTATGTGCCTTTGCTGCCTCGCAGAGGCCAGTTACTCCCCCCTGCTGTAGGCTGGCCGCCATTGTCCGAGGAGTAAATCATAATGCTGTTGTTATAAAAACCGTACGTCTTCAGAGCGAGGGTCACGTTATTGATAGCTTCATCTAGGCAGGCGAGCATGGCAGCATACCTCCGCCTGTTTATGTTGATAATGGAGCGGTAGTGCTTGAAATACCTGCCAGGGGCTTGCAGGGGGGAGTGCACAGCTTGATAGGCAATATATAAGAACAAAGGCTTCCTGGGGTTATGGGATGCTAAGATTTGCTGAACTCTCTGAGTGTACATCTGTGTGGAGTAGATGCCATGATCATAGTCCCAGGCAGCATTGTCATTTTCATACAAATCATAGCCACACATTCCAGGGCTGTCACACTTGTAGTGTGTGTAGTAATCACCACTCCCCAAGAGGGAACCGAAAAAGGTGTCAAATCCTCTCTTGGTGGGCATGCATTCTTTTCTGTAGAAACCCAAGTGCCATTTTCCAACCATATGTGTTGAATAGCCAACCTCCTTCAGCTTCTGAGGTAGGCTTGCATTGTCCAGAGGTAAGCAGTTGGGTTGGGTAGGCCTTATGATCGAATGCTGAAGCCCGGTGTGTATCTGATACCTGGACAAAAGAGCAAATGTTTTGTCAATACAGGATGAAAGAGAGACCTACACACACAAAACTGATTCCTGAATTAAACGTGTCTATGAGGAGAAATTTTATCCAAATGACCTGTAACCAGGTATTTCTTCCATCGACTCTAAAGTCTTAATCTACTCTATATTTAATATATGAAATATTTGAAATCTAAATCAGTACTTTTGAAACTAAGATTTCACTATTTATCTCAAAGTGTTGCTGGAAATCCAATTTGAATAGGCTTTAATCTCTTAATTATGTGACATAGAAAATTAACAAGTTTGGGGAAACAACAAACAGGGCCCCAGTATTATTATATTTTCAGCTTGAGTATCTCACATTATCTTCTTAATCATTTGCTCAGATCCTATACTTCAAGCTTAGTTAGTACTGAAAAGAAACACAAAAATGTACAAAATCACCCTGCTTTACTGTCAGACAGTTTTTCATATTAAGGTTCCAAATTTTCAGATCTCTGTAAAGAGAGAGGAGATGCACAATACATTATTGATAAAAGACCCGTTTAGACGGGATGTTTCAGCGAGGGTGGCAGCTGCTTTCCCTGGTAGCATAGTAGTTAAGCACTAAGCTGTGGTTCGCAAGATCTGCGGTTCAAAACCATCAGCCACTCAGAGAGAGAAAGATGGGGATTTTGAATCCAGGAAACCCAAAGGGGCGGGTCTAGCCTGTCCTATAGGGTCACTGTGAATCATCATGGGCCCGATGGCAGTGCGGTTTTGTTGTTGCTGTTGTAACGGTACCATGGAAACGAGTCACGTGTTTCCCACAGTGTCTCCTTTTATTATTACAGGTGCTTATTAATATAGTCTAAAGAAATGTTGCAAACCTTTCTATGTATTAAGCTCAAGTAAAGGTTTATTTCTGGCCTTCTTTTTATGAGTACTTCTGTTAAAGGCTGTCATTTCCCCCAGAAGTAGTTATTATCACTCACACCAATGTATGAGCTTTCAACCGGCTTGAGATATGCCTATTAGTTCCTGACATTTTTTAAATGATCGATCCTATGGCTGTTACACAAATTCAAAGAGGATTTTCAAAAAGAAAACACAAAATCGAAGAAAATAAAAGTTGCAGAGACTGTAAGGGTAAATATGAAAATACTTTTAGAATCAAATTACAAAGAGTCATTATTGAGACCAAAATCAAAGCTTTTCCCAAATCCAGCAAGCCATATTTGGTGAAAAATTTTATTCATGTTTAACTGATCATATGACAGTATGACAGTATAATACAACCGTGAGTTCTCTGGAAATGTCACTTGCAATCAGACACTGAGTGTCATGGATCCTGCCGTAAGTTCTCATCTCTCTGCCTGTGGTTACAATCCCAACTGGGAATGGATTGCCTGTTATGCACATGGAGCTGGATGGATGTTATGTGTGTTCAATGTTGCCAATCTCTCACAAAATATAAAGATGAGCAGAGTAAGGAAGTTGAGATGGAAAAATGTGCCCAGTAACATAGAGAACTCCCAGGACCCAGGGGCAGGTGCTGAAGGGACAAGGACCTTTCCTCAGGGATGATAGAAAGAGAAAGCTAACCGTTATTGCCTTGAACAACTGACCCCTATGCTGTGAGAAAAGAAATCCCTATTGTGTAAGCAGTCCACCTGTGTTCGTTCTGTCATAGCAGCCCCACATAACGAAGCCAGATGGCGCTGTAGGGCCAGTGGGCGCCCATGGGTAGGGTGGTGGAATGGATCAACACACTTAGTTGGGAACTGAAAAATTAGGCATGTGAGTCTACCCAGATGTTCCTCTGGAAGACGGGCTGGCAATCTACCTCTAACAAATCAGCCATAAACACTCTGTGTGGCTCCCGGTTCTACTGACAAACACTGGGTCACCATGAGTAAGTAACAATTCCGGGGCAACCAATGGCGATATCTGCTCATTAACACCAGGCAGCCTTCCGAAGGCGCCTGGAGATTCTGCTGCTACCTCGCCGCCGTTAAGGTTGCATCACCATCATAGCTGTGCTCATTTTAAATGCCATAAATTCCCAAAGACTAAGTGGTTCATGAGGTTTCGGGCATCCTTCAGAAGGTGCTATTATTCTGATAACTTATATCCAGTTCAGGATCTAAGACATTCACTTGTCAAACCACTTAATTTGGATAAGTACATGACAAGGTGGTAACATCTATTGATGTAAATGTTGAAGTTTTTTAAAAGGAGAAATATGGGTGAGTAGAGATTTTAAGGTATCGTGGGCTTTAGGTTGTTAACTAAATAATTATCTCATGTACAACACAAACTTGGCAAAAATGTCCATTCTGCTAATTCGAGCCTTTTTAACTGTATTGGTCCCTTTTCATCTAGTATGCTAAAAGCTGAAGACCCCAAGGGTTACAAAATGGTGTAACTCTCGGAAACATGCAAAGGAAAACAGAAAAGGAAAGAGCCCGCTGCTGTCAGTAGATGGGAGAGTTTGCAAAAAATAAGACAGTTCAGAGCTCTGAGTATTAATCGACTATGACTTCTGTTTCCAGCTGGAAATTCTAGAGCCAGCAACTTAAAGGACCGACAGTAGCAGACGAGAGATCAGACGACTGCTCAATGGCGCTCAACCCTCTGCTAATGGGAGGCTGTGTGGAGCAGAATTTCGGGCATGGAGTAGGTTAGAAGTTTGGAGTCAGACAGACCTGGGTTTGCTTTGGCTCCTCTGCTTACTAGCTGTGAGGCTTTGGACAGTATTTAACCCTCTTGATCCTCAGTTTCCACATCTGTAAAATAGGGATAATAATACACATTTCGTTTTGTGAGCATGACGAGAGAGCACAGAGGCTCTTTGGCAGAGAATAGTCAAAACTGAAAGCAGTTTTTACTGTTATTTTTCCAGAATGATGAACCGTGTATTGCTAGCCTCTTTATATAAGGTTTTATGATTTATAAACCTCTTTTCATATGCTTTTTGTACGTACTCCTCACCACAATAGTGAGGGTCAAAGTTCTTTTTGCTCAGTGTGTGAATGTGAAACTAATTCCTGAACAACAGAGGCTGGGACTGAGGCTCTCTCTACTTTTTTTAGGAATATGAGAAATTTTTTTAAAAGAAATCAAAGAGCAGAGAAAAGATGCCAGAGCTCTTGAGAAGCATATTTGTTCAAATGAAAGAGAAAAACTAAGAATTTTTAAACTGGGTAGTGGAGCTTATACTAATCCCAGAAAAGTTTCGAACTCCTTTTAAAAGAGATGACAGAGTATTTCAAAAAGAGCAAATTTGGCAGATATACACACACTCACAATGCCTAAATGCCTAGTTATTTTTTTGAACCTGCAACTAAAGTCAACAAAATGCTGTAAATATAGGAAATATGCAAACAAAAAGAGAGAAGGAAAGGTAGCTTTATTTTTTTAAGGTCAGTATTATATAAATAGCTTAGGAGAATGACATGGCATTTTTAAAGTCTTCCTATTATTTTTATGAAATGGGAACTCAGCTGTCTCATAGGACTGTATGTTGGTGATGAGAATGATAATCATACTTCCATGGCTGTTAATAACACAGTTTTCCTTCTTTCTATCTCCTCTCTGCTATAACTCTGTAGAGCAGGCAGGTGTGTTCCACTTACTCATTCCATTAAGCCAAAAAAAAGATAATGTAGCTCAGAGCAATCTAGTAGACTGCCCTGGGTTTACAACTGTAATACTGATTTTTGGCTTCATAGGCTCATTCAACATTCATAGCTAAACTCATTTAAACTTTGGATTAATTGATTTGGATTAGTCTTACATATTCATTCATTCACTTGGTTGAAAAATATTACTGAGAGTATTGTATGCCAAGTGGCACAGGAAGTATATCTGTTTCCACTCTTCAGAGCTTGGAAATCAGGGAGGGGGATGCAAGTACAGCTCCTACTAGCTCTGGGCTGCGCTGCAGGAAGGAGGTCCCTCATCCCTGGGTTGACGTAGGATGGAGGAGGCTCTGTCAGTCACACCTGAGTGGGTGAACAGCATTGTGGGTTCTGCTCTACAATATACCTATCAAGAATCTAAACAGAATCCTTTAATATCAGGAAGGCAATGGTTGTAATGTAGGGAACAGCATGGATGGCTAACAGTGGGGGACTTGGCTTAATAACTTTAACTTAGCAAGCAGCTTAAACACTAATGAGATAATTATTTAAAATGTACTATGAAGTTCTGGTCAATTAGTTGAGAGACCTTGATCAGAAAGATAGTTTTGAGAGCAGTACAGCAAGAGTTCTTTTTTTTTTTAATCCTTAACAAATTAATCAATGTCACCCACAACTCCAATAAAGATGTCAACAGGATGATGCCCATTGGAGAGGAAGAGTTAATATATAAGTGGCAGAATCAAGGTTCAAAGTATTCTAATCAGTCTGAAACATTGATGAAACAAAGAAAATGAAATCGATAAATGAAACCGAGAGAAAGAAAGAGCTGACAGATTGAGAAGCATATGTCCAAAGATGGAAATTTGATTACAGGGGCTATCGCTGGCCAAATCTGGGATAATTTAGAGTTAGATTGAGTGTATAGAATGGTAAATCCCGAGTCCAAACTGATATAAATAAATAATAAAGGGTGTGCTATGAAATGAACTCTTGCAAAAGTCTTAAAGTGACGCCTATTTAGTGATCTGCCCATTCAATCCATTGAAAAGGGTAATTGGCATTGGTGGAGCATGGCAGACACAGTCTTAGTCCAGTGAGCAAAGTTAGCATGCTAACGATGGACAAGTAAAAAGCATGTGCTCCTGCCAAGACGCAAAAGAAGAACCCACTCATCTGGAGTCACAATTAGAAAAAGCCAAATTGAGGACCATCCTACAATATACCTTCAAAAGTGTCAAGGTCATGAACGTTAAAAGACTGTGGAACTTTCCCAGACTGAAAGAATTAAAAAGACAAACCACTGATATACAAAATGTGATTCTGTGTTGGAATGGTGTATAATGAAGGGCATGCTTGGTGACTTGGGGAAATGAAAGTA